TGGGTTCAGGCAATTCTCCTGCCTCAGCCTCCTGAGTAGCTGGGATTACAGGCACGCGCCACCATGCCCAGCTAATTTTTTGTATTTTTAGTAGAGACGGGGTTTCACTGTGTTGACCAGGATGGTCTTGATCTCTTGACCTCATGATCCACCCGCCTCGGCCTCCCAAAGTGCTGGGATTACAGGCGTGAGCCACCGCGCCCGGCCACTGAATGCTTTTATACTAAAAGTTATGGATGTTAACAGGGTAGAGATGCACTTATATTTTACTAAGAGAAAAATAAGGAACAGTTCTGGGACGTACCAAACGAGGATCTTGTATTGTATCCTCCTGATAGAGTAGGATGTGTTACATTCCTAGAATTAAGGTGTGATGTAGAAAATACAGCCAACCAGGGAAGCTCACCTGAGACCTGGTTTTGCAAATGATTTTTGAGGCTCTATTACATAGCCATTATTTGTTGATTGATTCCCATGTGGCTAACCAGTCTCCTGGGCCACTGATTCCATGTAACCTAAAGCCCCACCTTAAATCACATTGCTCTTTGTGATATGGGGGCACCAACCCCCAAAGGGGTGCCCAGCCACAACCCTAAATTATATTGTTTCACTATCCAGAGACCTAGTTTTACCCCCAAGCAAACAAAGACACTCTCCTCAGGCATGACACTTCAAACTCCTAGAGATTACCGCTCAGATCCTGAGGACAACATCCAGACCTCATTTTGAATGAGGTTAATTTCTTCACTTTGTAAGGATACACAATATAAACACAAACATACCAAGTATTTATGATGTTATTTTTCTTTAAAGTTGGTTTTGATTTATATTTTATTAAATACATAATTCATTAGTTTCATAATTTGCCATGCAAGATTTTAGACTGATTAGGAAATTCACTAGGAAGAGTAGCAAGTATAATATTTGTATCATATTAATTTTATTATTAAGACTTTTTATTTTATTAAAAACATTTAATTTCAGTAGCTTTTGGGGTTTGGTGGTTTTTGGTTACATGTGTGAATTGTCTAATGGTGAATTCTGAGATTTTAGTGCACCCATCACCTGAGTAGTGTACATTGTACCCAGTGTGTAGCTTTTTATCCCTTTCCCCACCTTCTGCTCTCCTCCTTTTGAGTCTCCATAGTCCATTATATCACTCTGTATGCCTCTGCATACCCATAGCTTAGCTTTCACTTATAAGTGGAAACACAGTATTTGGTTTTCCATTCCTGAGTTACTTTTTAGAATAATGGCCTCTAGCTCCATCCAAGTTGCTCGAAAAGACATTATTCCATTCTTTTTTATGGCTGAATAGTATTCCATGGTGTATATATACCACATTTTCTTTAGCCACTCATTCGTTGATGGGCACTTAGGTTGGTTCCATATCTTTGAAATTGTAAATTGTGCTGTAATAAATATATGTGTGCAGGTGTCTTTTTGATGTAATGGCTTATTTTCCTTTGGGTAGAAAGTAGTGGGATTGCTGGATCAAACTGTAGATCTACTTTTAGTTCTTTTTTTTTTTTTTCTTTTTTTT